CTGCATGGATCCAGGCTAAAACTGGTGCCTTGTTGTCAGAGGCTCCTCTTCCATACAGGTTACCTAAATGAATAAAAAAAATACATTTATAAAATGATTAGTGGACCAAGCTACATCATCTGAGATACTGTATACTGTTGAGATTTTCTGAGAGTAGGGGTTAATGGAGCAAGGAGGTGATAAATCACCTACCCATAACACATGTACATTCTAACAATAAACATTTAATGGAACTAACATACATTTCTAATTTTGCTAAATTAGCCACTGGATATGTTACAATAAATCCCTAGTGGAAATGGTCATATTTGAATTATATAACTGTCCGTTTTATGATTTATAGTTCCTTTATCAAACAGCCTTTGTAGCATTAAAAATACTATATTAGTGCATTTATTAAAAACGACTGACCAATACTCTCAACCAAGGGCACGTGTTTGCAAGTGTAGCTACTCATGATTTAGGCAATCCTAGTGGCCAAACCTGTCAGATACAATTTTAAACAAAGCTTTTTCCAAGTGCGGAATTATTTTTCATTTAATTATTTTATTTTTTATTATTTTCTATCAAAGTGCACTATTGCTGAAATACTAAAGGCTTTATTTAAAAATATATGAATATTTTTCCATTCTAATTCAGCAGTAAAACCACTTGAACTGAGAATTACTGCGTTGGTAGTGAAGGAGGTACGGTGCAAAGGCTTTTACCATTGATGTCAGTCAGGTTGTAGGGGTCTGTTGCCCACCCGTCCTCTTTCTTTGCAGGCTGCACGTCCACATGTCCATACACACACACTGTGTGTTTTCTGGTGTCATTGCCAAACTGAGCTGACACCACCTTAGGTAGAGCCAACGTCTGACCATCAGGCAGCTGCAAATGTGAGTATCCATATTTATTGTAGCACAATTAACAACATTCAGTTTTCCATGCACCAATCACAGGGGTTCTTTCTACCATCTTGAACTGTGCCACAGCTATTATCCATCATTTCCAAAGAAACTTTATTTGTTATACCTGTGTGTTACTGCACATCTGAACTTGTTTCCCTGAACATACTGTATAATGACTTGAAGACTTTTTTTGTATTGACTCCATTGCACATTCAAGTCACATCTTAGTCACATTTAAAAACAGAGGCTAATTGACTACTGATGACCTTCCTGATGATCCCACCTCATTATTGTCTGTATGATAATGTACAAGGCTCCATATTTATCAGACAAAAGTAATGACAGTCAGCTTTTGCAGTGTCACTGACCTCTTGCTCTCCAATGTCCACCAGCTCTACAGCCCCTCCCATCTGCCTCAGCTTCTGAGCTGTTGCCTCCATCATGCGGTGCAGGTCTGGTCTCTTTAGTACATTCGCAGAGTCACTTTCTATGGCAACCCAGTCTCGCAGAGCCTGATACACAACCACACAACCACAGAAAACACGAGGAACGTTTTCATGGGAAAATAAATGTGAAAATTCAATACACACAACAAAAGGACATTTGTTCTTAAGGTTAATTTGGTCTTTTGACAGTTATACCTGTACTTATTGGTCAGAACTGGCTGTGCCCTACTAAATCTTTTTAGATCAATAGAGATTAATTGTAATTTGCAAAAATATCCCCATTAACAATTCTTGCCTCACGTTAACTGAGGTTTTGTTGCACACTGTGATCTATGTGTGGTTATAAATCATTAAATTTGTGATATGATACTTTGCAGAACCCTGTCAGCCTTCCATTCTGTGTGGGTAGGTCCTCTGCTCTACATACGTACGTCAAGTCACGCTTGCAGATATTTTTTGTGAACCAACAGCACCGCTTAGTGTCCAAACGTGGCAACGTATATTTAACTTGTATTTTCTTGAATTTGTTATTCACATTCTATAAAATGTTACCACATTTAATATGATATATACCACTGTATCGTTCATTTTCTTATTTACTTCGATGTATTTTTTGTCCTTTTTAAATGTACTTTATGTTCTGGACAAATATATTACTTTGCTGTTATAAACACAAGAATTTCATTATTTTCCCATTTGAATTATAAAGACTTTGAAAAAATGGGACTGATTTGATTTTCTATTAATTTTATTGAGTATTCTATCAGTCAAGAAAAAAAAACTTATTGATTGTGTTTCACTGTTTCTCCTTAAAATGATTGGTTAAGGAAGCGGACTTGGGTCCTGAAGGTTGCAGGTTCGAATCCACCAGCTGCCAAGTTACCACTGAGGTGCTCTGAGCATGGCACCGTCCCCACACACTGCTCCCCGGGCACTCAAAAAGCTGCCCACTGTTCACTTTGGTGATGGGTTAAATGTAGAGGTAACATTTCGTTGTGTGCAGTGAGGTGCTGTGTCACAATGACAAGGAGTTCACTTTCCTTCCTTTCCTTTCCTTGTTGCCTACAACAGTTCAATGTGATCTGTAAAACCTTTACATGGGTTTTTTAGCTGAACTACGTGGCCACAATAGTTTAGTATGCTTAATATGCTCAGACCAGCCATCTTGTCATCCTGAGACAAAATGAGACATATAGCAAATTTCAAAGGTCACTTAAAAATCGGATCAATTAAATTACAAATCTTTTGATGACAGGAAAGTGACATAAAGCTCTGGGATTTCTGACTGTGGGTTTAATCACCACAGCAGACTGCCTTCTCCACCTGCCTCCCTGCCCTATCCTATTGAATCATATAGTTTATTAACAGTACAGGAATATTTAGAGTATTTTAGTTTTTCGGTCGAGCACTTTGAGTACTCCTTTAAAGTTACATTTGGGTAAGTATGTGTCAAAAACGTTGTATTCTGTAGTATCTAAAAGTAAATATGAATGAGATATTTTACCTCGACATATTCTTCTTCATGGCTGTCAATGTATTGTGCCAGGTCTGTGTACTGGAAGGCTCGGACAGTAGTAGTAACCAACAAGATGGACAGCACTAGTGGAAAAGTCATCTGTCAAGGGAACCAAATAATAAAGGATGAGTATTTGAAATGACTACATCAATAATTCATTCACTCACTGTTCACAAAACCAGTAATTTATCTAACATTCCTTACTACTATACAACAGACTTGTTATAGCTCACTCACATGATGTGACATGTCTGTGTAAATTCTCAGTCATCCAGGTCATTTATCTATAGCAAATATGACAAGGGCAACTGGACTGGTTTGGTTTCTTCAGCTCTTGGATGAGAGGTAAAATTTCTTCAAGAAACCAGTTGCCCTTGGATCACTGTGATGTAACAGTCACAGTTTCAAAGTTTAACTGCACTCATTAGGTAAAGTTCAATCCTACCTTTTCTTTTCCAAATTTGCTGTGTGGATGTGACTCCTGAGGCAGACAGACTGTGACCCTCCGTGCTTGTCCTTGTATTTATACAGTACACCCTTCCTTCAAACCACACTCCCACTGGGCCCAGGGGGTCACACAGTCAAATATTTCCAGGACACGTTGCCAAGACAGCTGACAAATTAAGTTTTTCTTTTCCTGCTAGAATTACGCTCATCTATTGATCATGCTCCAAGAATTCACACAGCGGGAACAAAAAACAGCATGGTGAAAATTAAACTTAGTCCTGTTGCTTGTGTTTCGGGAAATCTCTAAGTCCCCCAAAAGTACAGAAGCTGTTCTTGTTTCAGATTAGACTGTCGACCCATTGTGCTCCACTCAGCCTATTGTAGACATTCCTAGTATTAGATAATCCTCTGCTGCAGTTTGCCTGAACATAGTTCAGTTCTTGGTGACCTGATTGTTTAAACTGGGGTTGGTCTATATTTTCTGTTTGTGTTCAAAGGTGAAAGAGAACTGCAATATGGACATTTGGTCATGTTTGCTTTTACTTTAGTGTTATTTTATTTAAAACACAATTCACAAAGCAAATAGAAAAAGTAGTAGTTCAGATATTTTTAAATGAAATTTCTTAAAAAAAGAAAAAAGTGTTTGAAAATTTTATATACACAATCAAAGAGTCACATTGCCTGTATAACACTATATAGTACAATGGATGAATTGATCTCACTTACAAAGACACTAGTGTTCTAATTGATGTGTCAAGTCCCCATCGTGTTGTCCACTTATACCAGTGGTTCCTAAAGATTTGGCTAGTGCACCCCTTTCAACATCTCCACTGAACAGACGCACTCCTAACTCCCCAAACCCTCAAAAACAAACAAACAAACAAACAAACAACAATGCTCAAATGATCAGAACAAACATATAACACACAAACACACATGCCTGCATGTATTTATTAATTAAAGTGATGGCTTTTGATTTAAAATTGTTGGGGTTTTTTTAAAATCCCATTTAAAAAAACAACCCACTCCAAACATCCATCAATATTTGAAATTGTGTTATTAGGATAGAAGAGAATGTACTCACAAACACTTTATGTGTCTTCACATACTTTTAAAAAATGAAGTCTGTAAAGACTTTACTTATGAATGTAATAGGGAATAGGTTTGATTTTGACATTTGTGGGGACACAAAAGTGCTCTAAGACAGTACTCCTAATTACCAAGTACGCACCCAGACAGACACAAATACAAACATCACTACTTCACTGGAGGCATTAATTTAATGTCTCTAAGGTGGGATAGAGTGTATGAAAATTGTGTAATAAAATTCAAAAGTTGGCAAAAATTTAATTATCTATGTTTGTTTTATTTATAGCAGGATGTTTATTTTTGCAAAGGTTTATTGAAAACATTCGAAATACGTGCAGTTTTCGGCAAATGATGATTAGTGGTTGTTTTACCCCTTTACGTTTAATTTGTGACTTGTTTGCACGTTCCAGTCGAACTCATGCACGAGCGGAAAAGATTAATAAACCCGCCCCAAGTGACGTAACAAAGATGCAACGAAATTGTTTTATTTTATTTTATTTAAATATATATTTAATTATAATATATATTTTATAACTTTAACTTGTGTATACATAGTGTTTTTATGACCTAATCGTTATATAATTTATTGATATTTTACGCGGGAGGTTAAATGTAAAAAAGAAAATGGCGGCACGCTGTTGGGCCGCTTCCGCCGTGCAGCCAGCGTCTGCACACGGAGGTTCAGTTTGTCTGGTTTGATGTTTGGTGACTGCTGCTGTCATTCTCTGGTCTTTTTTCTTTTTCTAAACCACAGAGGAGTGTGTACGGACCATTTATAACGACGGATTATCCCCTGTGCCTGAACTGAAGGAACCGTAAAGCATTTTTGTAGTACTATGCTGCAGCTATGTTCATTGATGAGACGGAGCCTCTAGCTAATGACAGTGTACATAATATACAAGCATAGCTGTTGCAGTCTCTTAAACGACACATTTTGCTGTTTTTAATGCACGCTCTCATTATTGGACACGGACATGACAGCTAAATAGTGGTTGCAGCAGCTCTGTTGAGCAGAACAGACTCGGAACAGCAACACCACAGCATGTTTTAACTGGAGTCACAGCATCTGAAAAAGATGAACAGGAAGAAGGATAAAGGATTTGAGAGTCCTCGGCCTTTTAAATTATAAGTTGCCTTTCCCTCGTCTCGTTATTCTTGCTTTGTTACACAAACTTAAACTTATTGTAAACGTATTTATTATTTATTATTTGTTACGTTTCTGCTAACTTGTAGCATGTTGTTTACCAAACAGGTAGTACAGTACAATGATATTTTTAGACGCGTACTTTATTAACAAAATGTTCTTTTGTTTTCTTTGTTTTTACGACCCACCAGGTGGTGTGCATCAATAACATAAACTTCCAGAGGAAGTCCGTTATTGTAAGTACACTTAAACGACAATTGTTTGCACACAGGATCCTTAAAATGAGCTAAATTGCGAAATAACTGTCAAACTAGTGATGTTTAAGTGGTTGTTTGTTTTTGTTTTTTAACAAGAATGATATAAGCATGTTTTATGAGTCAGTACATAGATTATTATTGTCAGTGGGACAGGTGGATTAATGGTTGGGGTAAGTACACTATATATACTGTATGTATATATATATATAAAGTGGTTTATCAAAGTTAAAGACACAATACATAAACATATCTTCACATAAAATGAAAGCTAATTTTAAAAACAAACTTGTATGCAGTATATGTTTAACAGTACTTTATATCTAAATCATGTAAATTTTAATTTTTGTAAAAATTCACATTTATAATTTATTTTATTAAGATGTTTTAATTTTGAAACTTTTTTTCACAACTGATTTTAAATAGTCACTAATATGACATGGGGACAATTTTACACCTTTCTCTTATTGTCTCATTAAGGGCTACGTTGAGCTGACCATTTTCCCCACAGTGGTGAACCTGAACAGGATCAAGCTCAACAGTAAACAGTGTCGCATTTATAGGGTCCGCGTCAATGAACTAGAAGCTCCATTCATTTACAATGACCCCACATTGGAAGTGTGTCACCATGAGTCTAAGCAGTGAGTACAGCAGTTAAATGTATAGAACGTTGTAATTACTTTTCCTCAGAATGAGGTGTATAGTAATATTTCTGTCTTAAGTTGGTGAATAATTATTCTTTTAATGTCAGTGTTTTTTCTTAAAATTTGAGGATGAATCGTCATTCTGAATGTTTCTCTTCGTAGGAGGAATCTTAATTATTTCTCCAGTGCCTATGCAGCAGCAGTGAGTGCTGTAGATCCAGACGCTGGTCATGGGGAACTGGTTATTAAAGTTCCTGCTGAACTCTGGAAAAAAAGAGATGGAAAGGAATGAAAAAAAAAAAAAAAACTATTTGGAAAAAAAAACTATCAAAATTAAAATTTGAATATAAAATGATGTAGGTGTAAATGATAGATGGCATAGTTGCTTATTATAACTAAGACTTTTATTGTTTGTATTTTTTTGTGCAGACTTGAAAGTTTTGAAGGTGTACATAGAATTTTCTCTGGACCAGCCAAAAGGAGGTCTCCACTTTGTTGTTCCTGATATTGAGGGCAGCATGGCAGAAAGAGGAGCTCATGTGTTTTCCTTTGGGTACCAGAACTCCTCCAGGTATCATAAAAAAATTATATCTTTGCAGATTATACAGCAGTATATTTCATATTTGAAAAGAATGGAAAGTTAGGGTCAGTTTTTTTCTATTCACTTTTCTGTTCAATGCTGCTTTTATGCACATATATTCCCGTCTTCCTCAGGTTCTGGTTCCCGTGTGTGGATTCCTACTCCGAGCTCTGTACTTGGAAGCTAGAGTTCACTGTTGATGCTTCCATGGTGGCAGTGTCCTGTGGTGATTTAGTGGAGACCATTTACACTCATGATATGAGAAAGAAGACCTTTCACTATGTCCTTCCTATTCCTACTGCAGCCCCAAACATCTCCCTGGCTGTGGGTCCTTTTGAAATCCTGGTGGACCCCTACATGCATGAGGTGAGTTATACATTATCAGGTTTATTTGATGAATACACAATAAACAAAACACACGCTCTGTGTTTGCTTCAAGGTGGATAGAAATGTGTCCATCCTAGATTAGAGAAGACACCACTGATCAAGCTCTGTTTTAATATGTAGTAGTTATTAAATGTACGTAAGTGAATATGTTTTTCAGTATCTTTTAAACTGAGTGAAAAGGAATTATAGTATGTTTTTCTTTAAGTTGTCTTTTGCAGTCATCACAATATGTGTTATGAATTTGAGATTGTAAGGTACGTTGGAAACTTGCTTTTGAAGATGTGTATTTTAAGTTACTGTTTTAATTTTAATTACTGAAATAAATATGGAGACAACAACAGGTCTTTTATCATTTTATTCTGAGCTCACCTTTCGTTTTTGAACACCAGATGGCAGTATTAGCGTTAACCTCAGTAAGACATCACTGTCTATAGTACACAGAAGAGTTGGCTTGTTATTGTCTGCGCTTAAGTGCAACATTTAATGTATTCGTTTTGGAAAATTTCATAACAATTTTATGTTTTGTCTTTATAACAATAATATTTTTTACAAACTAAACATCTAATTGCTTCAACACTCTAAGAGTTATTCATTTTAACACTTGATGCCATGCAAAGACACATCATCACTAATGTTGCTTTATTTTTTCAGGTGACCCACTTCTGTCTGCCACAACTTCTGCCTCTGCTCAAACACACAATGTCTTACCTGCATGAGATTTTTGAGTTCTATGAAGAGATCTTGACCTGCCGCTACCCTTACTCCTGCTTCAAGACCGTCTTTGTAGACGAGGCCTATGTGCAAGTGTCCGCCTATGCATCCATGGGCATTTTCAGGTAATTGTGGGAGGGTTTGATCAAAATTCTTGGTTTTTCTCTGTTATTTCTGTTAGATATTAGATGAACATACTGTAAACTGTTCTATCTACTTTTTTTGCTTCACTTTCAGCACTAACCTTCTTCATAGTGCCATGATCATAGACCAGACTCCAATGACACGTCAGTGTCTGGCCCAGGCTTTAGCTCAGCAGTTCTTTGGCTGCTTCATTTCCAGAATGACATGGTGAGATATCTCTCTCTCTCTCCCTCTCCCTCAAGATATATATATTTATATAAATATAATTTTGAGGCTGAACATTGTAGAAGTTGTAGCTTGACTTTTATCAGTTCTGGGATATGTCATTAAACTTTTTTTACATCAAACCCGTTCCCTTGGTTTGCATTAATGTTCAAGTGGCGCTGCCTGCCATCTATTAGTAAGATTGTCGGGCCGGTGGGGGTTCCCCGGTGGCTGTAATTGAAACCAGACTGAGTAGCCTGTCAGATGTGTAAAAGAGAAGGGGCTAGAAAAACATATTTTTTTCCCAAATACATGAAGCAGAAAGGATGTTTTTGTTGGGTTTATGAAGTTGACACCTTAAATAACTGCTGTGTTTAAAAAAAACGTGTCCTTTTTTTGTGTGTGTATCTCATTATGTTGGTCTTGTCTAGACAGGATAAAAAGGAAAAAGAAACAGATTTGATCATTTCTTATATACATGGGTCTTATTAATTAAAGTAATTCCAGAGATAAAATCATCTTAAAGCAGATTGGGTTCATTCAAAGTGCAAACCACTAATGTTGAATCAGCGTGTGCCTCTTATATTTTTAAGAGGCCAATGAAACCAGGGTAGTAAATTTACAAGGGTTGTGATTATTACCCTGTGTTTTGTCCTAGTCATACCCTTAGTGTAAAAGTCATTACATAGTAAGGAGGCAACTGTAGTTTGGCCTTAAATGCTTCATCGAGGTTTTCCACTCACATGACCAGATCCTATACCATGTGGGCAAAAAGGTCAGGGAGGTCATAAATTCGTTTTTATTATCAGGTTCTGCTTTAAGCTACCCAGTATTGAATTTCTGTGTAATTTTCCTGGTTTAAGTTTCATGGTTGCGTAAATACCACGCCATAGTTTTTGCAGAAGTGTGATGTGAAGTCTTTTCAGAAACTATAGAGCTTGAAATATCCTTAAAAATGTTTTTGTGAACTCATGTTTTTTTCTCTGTGTAGCTCTCGCTTTGGTGATATAATGTGTTGTAATATTTGTTTAAACCTTAAGGGCCGATGAGTGGGTGTTGAAGGGGATCTCTGGCTACATTTATGGCCTGTACTTGAAGAAAACCTTTGGAGTCAATGAGTATCGACACTGGATAAAAGAGGTAACGTTTTGTCTTGAGACAGTTTTTCTAAAACCAAGTGGATATTTTTAAACCGACTCGACCTTTTCGGAAATGAGGAATTCTAGCTACTTAGATAAAAGAGTGGATAGGTAACATAATGAAGGTAAAGCACATTATGGTCTGTCTACTTTGTAGATGGCTTTAGTGTGACTTGACTTTAAGGTTGACGCATGATCTGGAAAACCTGAAAATTGAATGACCAATGTTGCTTTGAACACATGACCCATATAATAAAGAATATAGTCATCCATCCATCCATCCATTTTCATCCGCTTACCCATTACCGGGTTGCGGGGGCAGCAGTCGCCACCCAAATCACATTGCACCGTACCTAAACCTTCCTGCGGGTGGTGAGTCCACTGGAAGGTATTAATCGCCCTGACCGGGATTCGAACATGCCCAGGAGGTGAACCCTGGGGTTCCACACCAATGACAGAGACATTGCCTCTGGGCCAAAGCGCCACGAATATAGTCATATGTCCTGGAAATTTCTAAGCAATCCTGGAAAGTTAATTCTCCTTCCTGCTCCTCTTCCCATCGAGAGTGAATGCAAACAAGTGAAATATCATGTTGTTATGCTATCTTCTTTGGTTGATATTGAAACACATCACTTCTCCATAAACTAAAATAGCTTATTTGTTTGTATTCCTCTATTGTCACACAGGAGCTGGATAAGATCGTTGACTACGAGCTAAAGATGGGAGGTGTTCTGCTGCACCCAACCTTCAGTGGAGTCAAAGAGAAAGACAAGTACACAATCTCTTTCTATCTGAGTCTCATTTTGAGGATTTTATTACTTATTTTTAAAATGTTTGTATTGAGATATCACAGTAAGGATTTTTCTCTTTAGTCCAACCCCCCATCTCCACTTCTCTGTCAAACACCCTCACACGTTGTCCTGGGAATACTACAAGATGTTCCAGTGTAAGGCTCACCTGGTGATGAGGTTGATAGAGAACAGAATCAGCATGGAGTTCATGCTGCAGGTCAGTTGAAGCCAAAAATCATCTTTTAATGAAATTGTCAAAACCGATTAGATTTACTGTCTTAATAAAACGCCTCATTTTTTGTCCCTCTTACAGGTTTTTAATAAACTCTTGAGTTTGGCCAGTACGGCCTCGTCTCAGAAGTATCAGAGTCACATGTGGAGCCAGATGCTAGTGTCTACTCACGCCTTCCTCAAATCCATCTCCAACGTTTCTGGCAAAGACATTGGGCCAGTCATCAAACAATGGGTGTATCCTTTATCTGAGACGGGTCTGTGCTTGGAAACAACCTGCTGGCTGCACAAAGACTGAGGTCATCACTTTAACCAAGGATTGTTGTCTTTACTCTGTTTACCTGTGAATGAATAAAAACAAGTCACCTGAAATGTTAAATGAAAATGATGTAGACATTCTGAACAATCATATTTAAATCATGTTTATGTTTAAAGAAGGTTGTGATTAATAGCAAATATTAGATTTGGAGTTTTATTGTTGTAACACTCAGTTCTACAGTGGGTTTCATCAGTCTAATATTTTTGAACCATCCTACCCCCCATCACCCTTGTTGCATAGAGTTGACATGTTAAAAGCTCTATAATTAACACGAATTGCAGACCTTCTCATCAAGTTATTCTTTCCTCTGTGTAAAAAAAAAGAAGTACTGAAGAATAATTTAATTTGATCTGTGAACCACAAAGTCGGCCAGCCCTCTTGTGTGATAGCCACTGCTTTAACATTTATGATATTCTTAAAACCCTTACGTATCTATTATGTGTATGGTAAAGATCACTGTTATTTCTAAGTCATAATTCATTATTATTACCCACAAGCTGCGGCTGTCATCTGCTTTTTTTATCTTAACACTTAATTGCTTAGAGACCAAAGTGGTGTGGTGAAATTCTTTGGAAGTTTTGCCTTCAACAGGAAGAGGAACGTGCTGGAGCTGGAGATCCGTCAGGACTATACATCATCTGGAACTCAGAAATATGTGGTGAGCCTTAAAATATAGTCTGTGAAAAATGTTTTTGTTCCCAGCTCTGAAAAGAACAGAATTCCAGAAATGTGAACAATCGAAGTGGCTAAAAGAAGCCTGTCATAGTGTCAATAGTTTTTCTTTTACATTGTAAAAGATGCATTTGGAATACTGAAATAATTTGTAAAATATTTGCATCATGCTTGCCTGCAGGGTCCGATCAAGGTGACTGTGCAAGAGTTGGACGGATCCTTCAACCACACACTGCAGATTGAGGAGAACAGCCTGAAACACGACATCCCCTGTCACTCCAAGAGCAGACGGTGTGTAATTAAGCATGTTCTTGTGATAAATCGGCTCTGCAGTGTGGCACTAATAAACTTAAAATCATTTAATTTCCTTGTCTTATAGAAACAAGAAAAAGAAGATTCCCCTGATGAATGGAGAAGAGGTGGACATGGATCTGTCAGCTATGGAGTAAGACCAGTTTCTCTATTTTTAATGTCATGGTGTTAGAATATTTTGATGACAACTACAATTACTGAAGTTGCATTTGTTGTTCTATCAAGTGACTGGATGTGATACCAGTTTCCTAAAGCAGATTTGGTTGGTTTAAAATAAAAAAAATGTTCTTAATGTGACCTTGTCTCTTAATTTTCCTCTGCAGTGCTGATTCTCCCCTCCTCTGGATCCGGATCGACCCAGACATGTCCATCCTGAGGAAGGTGGAGTTTGAGCAGGCGGACTTCATGTGGCAGTACCAGCTGCGCTATGAGAGGGATGTAGTAGCACAGGTGGGTTAGTGACAGTACAGTCTTGGACTTTTTTACTACTCATCCATATTCACAGTCTTTATGTGTCAGCTCAAATCTCCAACTTTACCATAAATTAACTCACTTGCGAGACAGTTTCATCCTACTGCAGATTCATTAACAATTTTGATTGTCTCCTAAAAACCATAATTCATCTCATGAGGCTTATGCCTGCAGTAAGTAAAGTGTCATCAGTATGTACATCAGCATTGTATTGTATTGTGTACTTAAATTATACTATTAGAATCTGCAGTTTTTTGTTGTTTTTTTTTTCTTTCAACCAACTATTCTCTACACCACCAAGTTCTTTATGTTCCAACACTTATGAACATAAAGAACTAATGTTTAAGCCAAAAGCAATGAAACACACATGTATCAGATTGTCGGTTGTATTCAAATGGCTATGTTCCAGGTTCATTTTGTTTTACATGTATTTGGTTTATAGTCATTGATCTAAAATGTTGACAGTGTGACTGTCCCTTAAAACAACAACAGTCACTACAGAGATAGGTTGATGAGCCTTTAGTTACATTTAAATCTTATCCCCCTTAGATGGAGGCTATTGCAGCATTAGAGAAGTTTCCAACTCCTGCCTCCAGACTGGCTCTGACCGACATCCTGGAGCAAGAACAGTGTTTCTACAAAGTCCGAATGATGGCCTGCTTCTGTTTAGCCAGGGTGAGTGACTTATGAGTAACTCATCAGTGTGTACCTTACCATTTTATCATCCCATTCCCTTCATCTAATTCCATTAAATGTTTGTTTCAGTGTGTGACACATTAAAAGGAGCATGATTCCCTTTGCAACCAACTTCATTTTAAGTATTGATGTAGTGAATGGTGCTGATGTGTCTGTCTGACCAATTGACAGTGTTGTAAAAACCCTGGGCAATTTTCTTTCGCCAAGTAGTACATTTTGTTGCACAGTTTGAACATGATGGTTTCTTGGTATCCATATTATTAAATGTAATTAATAGTACCTACTGTAGGTTGTGATCAAGTGATCATGTGTTTACAACTAAAGAGAGGAAAAATGATCTGTTGTGTCAGATAAAAAGGTGTCAGATTACCCTAGGTGTTAGTATGGTATTAATGGGTGTCAAAAATATAGACTTATATATTTTCTTAACCAAATGTAAGTGCTCTTGGCTACAGTACATTTTATTCACCTTTAATTATTCCATGTCACTGGGCCACCCAGCAGTTTAACCCTATTCTGTACTTTATCTCAATGAAGTGAATCATTCTATTCTATGACCACAGGAAACTGTCAATTCTCTGGATTTGGTCAATTCCAACTTTCAGCCCACTGGATTTCCTTCTTTCAACTTCCACCTGAATCAATATTTTCCCAACATGATAATAAGCCTGGGTTGAAACAGCAGCACTGCACTTCGTTCATTAACTCAACCTTTGTTCTGCTCCCATATGTCCTTCAACTACACACACACACACATATAATCACATTCTCTGAACATGAATATATGCACTGACTAACAAACCCACACTGACCACAAAGTACACTTTAACTAACTTTAACTCTCAGGTGGATTGTGCATTATGATTGGCCAGGGTGACTTCAACTTGACTGTTTATTTTGGTATTAAAATGTGGTTAGCAATCATGAACAGCCTTAGGCTAAAAGACTGTCAAGAAAAAGCATAGAGAAAAGGTCAGATTTCTACATGTGACACATAGAAAAGTATTGACTCCATATAAATGCACTCATTTCAGGAACATTCCAGTCTTCATTCCATCTGTTATTTTCTCTAAGGAAAAGATAATATCCTAAGCCAGTGACCCTTAGCCCTTAGTTACCACAATAACATTCATTTGCTAATATCCTGTTAGAACTCAAAGACCAGCAGAGTCGCTAGTTCTCATATAGTATCTGTAGAACCTTCCTAGTCCAGATCATGTGACCACAGAAGTTCCTTTGATGTTGTTGTTCTTTCAGTCAGAGATTTTGAGACAAACTTCAGCTTTTGTGACTTTTTCCTTAAGTATTTTACAAGCCCCTAGGTTTAGATCTCTATAACTCAAAATATAAATCCTAAAAATGGATTTCTGTGTCACTAGTCATTATTACTCGCTGCACTGTTCCTTATTCTATTCAGAGTTTAATAAAGAAATACAGTTACAAGTTAATAACAGTCTTCAATATGTGTTTTAACTCTCTGCAGATCGCCAAAACAAGTCTTCAATGTGTGTTTTAACTCTCTGCAGATCGCCAACGCAATGGTGAGCACATGGCAGGGCCCCCCAGCTATGAAGTCACTGTTCACCAGAATGTTCTGCTGTAAGAGCTGCCCCAACATCGTCAAGACCAACAACTTTATCAACTTTCAGAGCTATTTTTTGCAAAAGGTACAGCAAACAAACACATTCATGGTTTACCTCACACTCGCCACACAAGGTTCTGGTATTGCCTTAGACCAAGGGTTTTTTTAAAAAAAAAAAAATTGTCTTACCTGGTGGGGACCCAAACACTTCAGAGAAGGAGAGTGTTGATCCAACTACAGACATTAGGTTCAGGAAAAAAAAAGTTAAAGTAAATAACAGCAAAAACCAATCTATGAGGAACATGATGCCACAAGTACATGCTTTAGTCTTTTGACAGGTTAAGAAAAATACGTTTTTAATGCCTTTAATGATGTTTGTTTTGTGTACGCTTTTTAGACGATGCCTGTGGCAATGGCCTTACTGCGAGATGTCCAGAACCTCTGTCCCAAGGATGTTCTCAACTTCATACTTGACCTAATCAAATATAATGACAACAGAAAAAACAAAGTAGGGAAATATTTTCAGTTTTAATCTAATATACATATATACCTTTATTCAGCTTAAAAAAAAAACTTCTTCTTTTCTTTTTGTCCCCCTGCAGTTTTCAGATAACTACTACCGTGCTGACCTGATAGAAGCACTCACCAACTCTCTGACCCCTGCCATCAGCATCAACAACGAGGTGCGAACAGTGGACAACTTGAACGCTGATGTGCGTCTCATCTTGGAGGAGATCACTCGATTCCTTAACATGGAAAAACTGCTTCCCAGTTTCAGGAACATCATCACTGTCAGGTAAAGAGGATACCGTTATGTTGAAGTTTGTCTTTTACAAGCACTAAGCAAGAAGTATTAGGCCTGCGTTAGGAGGCAAATTACTTCATTACAAATCTACTCAAAAGCCGCCGTTATTTCCATGCGGTTGTATTATTGTAACCACTCCATTAATGTCAACGATGGTGGCCTGAATATGCATGTGTGTATGATGCAATAAACTGTAACAGCACCACAAAATTACATCCTTCAAAAGGCTGACTCAACAGCTCTAATACAGCGCTGGTGAAGGTTGAACATTAGAGAAGTCATCAAGAAGGGAATTACTACAGGACTGCACTAAACATTGACATCTTATACAATGCCATTACTGGTAACTCTTTATCTTGTTTTCAACTGAGGAAATGCTGGCATTTTCTTTGTTCACCATTTGTATTTTGTCCATGCAACAAATGGACATTTTTGTTGTATTTTGTATTTATGACAAAACACTTGATAAACTTAAAAATTCATCAACAATTTATTCTGCCTTTCTTTTCTCTACAGTTGTCTGAAGGCGATTCGTCAGCTGCAGAAAAACGGTCACATTCCCAGTGACCCCTCACTGTTCAAGTCCTACGCAGAGTATGGACACTTTGTAGATGTTCGTATCGCCGCTCTGGAGGCTCTAGTAGACTATACAAGAGGTATGACCTTCGGTGCAAGCCATGCCATCAGAAGAAGCAGAGATTGTGATTTGTTTTGTTTTTTTAATATTTTGCGGTGGTATTTGGACAAACTCTCAATTCTTTGATGGAGACGTACCATGTTCCGCAAAATATTTAGGACGCTGTATATATTTACTATATGTCTCTTTACTCTCCAACGTTTTTCTTTTTCTTGTGCAAGCAAAAAGAAAATGTAAAGAACCAGCAGTCTATATTAAGATAACATCTGACTATCACTATTGCCCAATAGAACAGACCTAGGTGTTGTACAGTGAGACTGTTGTTAAATTAAAAGTCAAAATTATGTATGAAAGTGACACCTGTTACACTGTGATAGGTGGCCAAAATACGACCGCAAGGCTTTTATTTTGAAGGCAACTGTTTTTTTGTTTTTTTCTAACCCTAACTTAACGTATGTCCAGTCAGTGTCCTTATGCAACATCACTCAAATGTGTCAGTAAATCTGTTGGACCAGCTTTGTAATGTCCCAAACAGTTGCAAGAACAGTAATTCTTTTTCTGATGAGAAGTTTGTCAACGAATTATTTCTTAAATTAGAAGTCTTCCCTGTGTAGTTGTTGAGAATCAGCTTCTGGTTCCTCACATTTGTTTTAAATACAAGTGAAAAATTAAATGTGTACAAAACGTTTGCCCAAAATTGTAGGCTGTTATTGAGTTTTGATCTGTTGAGCTTTTTTATATAGTGTATTTGGTGTAACTTTGATCTCATCCAACAGTGGAGAGAAGTGCAGTAGAACTACAGTGGCTGCTCCTCATGGTCCAGGACGACCCTTCTCATTACGTCAGGTCAGCAAACAGCTTCCATACATTTTACTTAATCTACAGCTGTACTCTTTCAAAAGATCGGCACACTGTGGACCGTACACTTGCACCTTTCTCACATACAGATTTTACATTTCAATGCACCTGTGATAAAGTGTAAATTTCACTCCTTTGATGTTCAGTCTTTTTTTCACTGGAATACTCATTGAAAAGTTTTTCAATTTAGTAGTAATATCCTCATATTATTAATTATACCAGTGACGTTCTTATTATTAGTGATGGTAAATGTGCATAAAATCTACTGTATGATAGCTAAATAGTACTCTCTAAAATTAAGCTCTATTTGCAGTAATTTTTTCTTAATCACAAGAATTTTTTTTTTAAACCTGATCCTGATGAGGGTCTTAAGTCCATTAATATAGAGTATACCTGCTCATACCTGCCTTATTATAAAGCTCTAATAGAAAAGTTAAGTAATACTTTCCAATATTACAATGGTACTTAACACAATCAAGACCCAGATCTCCACCATGAGGTGGTCCTCTGCTCAAACCATTAGGCTCTAAGCCACCTCATGACATGGCTCACAGCAGTTTAAATATAGTTTAAGTATTTTTTGTGCAACATCAAAATAATGATCATCTGCGTTAGAAGTAGGATTGATGTCTTGTCCTCTTCTTTTTTAGGTTGATAACAGTAAATCAAACCTGGCAGTGCTTTGTTTTTCTTTCTCGTCACTAAATGTTTTCGACAACCTAACAAGCACCATGATGCAAAGACCAACAACAATCAGATGTAATAAGCAGCAGCTGATGTGATGAGCTGCTGATGTTTGTTATTCCAGTGACGAGAGCAGAAACTTAGAGAAAATGAGAATCTGCAGCTGCATATTTTTTGCATCTGTAACAGTTATTATAGTTGGAGCTTAGTACATTTCCAACCATCTGTATCTGAACTCCGTCACTCACCACTGAGACCAAACAATATTTTATTTTTACATGCTAATTTTCAGTGGTTAATGTAGATGGATATGGAACTGCAGTGGCCAAAAGGCTTAGCTCACACTTTTAGCTTTTTAATCCACATTTTATGGCTTACAGTAGCTTCAGTGGAGAGTGCAGTGGCTGCATTATTGTTATTGTTCATATTCATGGCATTTATCATCCAGTAAATACGTGTTTATTGTGACACAACTTACCATTGGTCACTTTCTTGTTTTGTTTTTTTTATTATTAGGTTGGTAAAAATTAAAGAGTTATTTAATTAAATAAAGTAAAATGGAGAAGGCAGATGCAGGTTGATTAGAAGATAAAGGATTAGAATACAATAAAATTCAGCAGCACTAAGTACACAACAGTTGATTAATAACTGTGCATCTAACACATTCAAAAAGTATTGCAAGTATACAAGTGCTGACCAGTAGAAAAATATTGCACTAGTGTACAAATGTAACACCATGAAGAAAATTCACTTCCATAGAAATGTAACAGTTAGAAAGCTGCTAGTCTGGCTGAATATGTTTTTTATCCCACAATCAGACATGAGATCCTTGGCATGCTCAGTAAGAACCCACCGTTCACAAAGGCATCAGAGTCTGGCCTGTGTAATGAAGCACTGGTGGACCAACTGTGGAAGCTCATGAACTCAGGTGAACACACACAAACACACACATTGTGAGCACACTCATAACCCATAATTTATTTTTTGACAGCCCACCCTAGCTGTGACCATCTTAAACTAAACCCTTAAAACCACCTTTCCCCTTAAACCTAATTCTAGTCCTAAAACCCAGTCCTAATCCAGTGAAAGCCTTTTGGATGTTTTAAGAGCCCAGATTCTTGATATCTGACCTGAGCATGTGTTTTTGGTCAGACTCTTTTCCAGTGCAATGTGAGCACCAAAATTACAGAGGTGACCTGGTTTACTTTCATGAATATTTCATTTTTCAGGGACCAAAGAAGCGTTTCCTTATTAAAAACCTTTGCCAGTATCAGTGTCTCTGTTTACCTTTGACCAGAAGGGACCAGCTATCCCCTGCCCAGAATCTATATAACGTACAGACAGAGGCAGAGCCTGTAAATGTGTGACCAGAATATTTTACTCAATATATTTGAGTTTAAAGCAAACGTCACACAAAAGTCAGTCTTTTCGTGTGAGCTGATCTCAGGAAATTTTACATACACTTACAGCACACCGTAGTCCTGACATTGAGTCCTTAAACACAGCTGTTTATCAGTCGACACGTACAGCGTGAGCTGCTCCTGATCCTCCACCAAAAATATAAAATCTCAAGGCAAAGCATTTATAAAAGAAGAATACTAAAAGGTATTAATTGTTTGTATTAGTATAGTATTTATTAGCCTGTTTAAAATTCCCAATTCTGTTCCTATTTCAGGATTAAAATTGAAAATTGTAATTCTTTAAAAGGTCTATTTTCTCCACTGTTCTCTGGACCCAGTAGATTAATGATTAATTCATCTTCGATCATTTCTTTTTCACCGAACCTTCTTGTGTGCTGATGTTAATTGCAGAGTTCATCAGTTTTGCAGCTAGCAAACAACTTTTAAGGGGCATTACTGCCTGTAAATATATCAGTTTTTAAAGCTTTATTTAGTCTGTAATTCATTAGTGGCGATTAACCAGTTGTAATTCATTCACTTCATTTCATGAACTGTAAAACACAGAACACAACACTGAGCTGTTTGTGATCTGTTTATCCAGGACAGATTGATACCATATTTGAAAACAGTCTTTGGTTCCTCTGTTTTATTCTTCAAAATAGAAACAATAAGTGCCTATGGTACAGTTTTGCCTCAGTTTTGTGGTGCTGTGATTTTGCTAACTTGACAGATTATGTCTTACAGCTGCAACCAACCATCATTTTGTGCATATATCAGTATCTTCAGTTTCAACATACAGAAGGTTACAACACAAATATATTCCTGACTCATTGTTTTAATAAATGGTTCTGATGAAATATTTCCTTACCAGTCTTTGTCTTCCAGTATCTTTTACGTTTGTGCTGCGGTGCCTCCACCATGTGCACACATGGACTGGTCTTCTATTGTGTGTTCAGGTTTCGTTATTTTGTTCTCTTCCTGGGGGTCCAACATGTCTTTCAGCCTGTGAGCTGAGTTAAAGCGCTTCAATCTGCCAATTTAAATACACACAACCTTCAAAACCAAATACATGTGAAGCACACTATACGTTTACAGAGCCGTGTTCCTCAG